ATAGCTGTTACCATTTCTTGCTCTTTCAAGATAACTCACTTCTGCTTCTTCCAGTTTATTTTGGTCATACAGTGATCTTCTCCAACTAAGGACCTTCCATATAACAAAAGGAAGATGCTCTTATTTGACTTCTTACATAGTCAATCAGACTGGGCTGTTGGTTTGAGCTCAAAGAGGCAGGTGAGTTCATTAAAAAGAAGGCTATCAATTTCTGGAGTATTCATGTGGCTCAACCCAACTATGAAGTCTATGAGATGGCATTAGTCAGGAAGACTGAAATTTAGGAGGTCAATTCCAAGAATCGGGCAAATCTTTCATAAGGAGCCTCAACAATTTATCTGAAATAGAAGCTTTTTTTTTCCACCAGCCCTTATGAATACAATGATTCTGACCAGACTGTAGCTAATAATAATAATAATAATGTTCCCCTTATGTCTCATAGGCCCCATTTCCGAATTGCCTTCCTTCCTTGGATTTGATCCATTTGTTTGTGGGAAAACAGAAACAGATATCAATCTAGCCCTGCTGATTCGTGCCAGGTACATTCCTTCCGAAACTCAGCTTTTTTGTTGTTGTTGTTGTTTTGGCTGCTCCACGTGTCTTCTGATGGGTATGATGGATGGACCGATGAGGCTACTGGTTGCCAAGGACAGATCACACTAGTCCTTCCAAACTGAAATGAATTGGGTGTCAACTGACATTCCAAGTTGCTTCAGAAAGATATTATTATTTTCAAAGGAAACCCGTGAACTGCAGTTTGGAAATAATTGCAAAAGACATCTCGTTTAAACACAGTGGCTTGGGTGAAACGGGAGACGGCATTGAAACATTTCTTTTTTTATAATACATGCATTCATCTCCGGAGTGGATTGCAAATGGCACAAAATGTGTATACCACTCAAAATTGGTTTAGCTGCCCTGGGTTTCACCCCCAAACTATTGTTCTTTATTCATGTCAGAAGCACCTACAAATTATAGTTATATAGCATTCAATACCAAGCAAATAAAATAGGTATAAAAGAGGTCATCCCAAAGGTGTTTTTCCAAAGACAACAGGCCTTTGTTGGCTTTTTTTCCCCCTTGAAAACATTTCGCTTCTCATCCAAGTGACCTTCAATGAACTTCTTCAGTTTTGAAGGTCATTGAAATACAGAATGTGCAAAAAATATGTAGAATAAGTGACATTCACCCAGTGTCGAGCCATATCAATGACCTTTTCCCTCACCAACATAAGGTCTTCCTCTGTACAGGTTGAAGGACATCATATGCACCATACCATGGATTGCTCTTCACTACATTCGCCCAGAGTATTCAATTAAATATTTAAACTAATATATTAAAAGCCAGCCATCAACACACCCCAATCGACATCTAAAAAGCCACTTACAACAGACACTATAAATACCACAAACAGAACAGTAAACACACCCTGCTAGAGAGAAGTTCCAGAAAAAGTCCAAAAGCTTGGAAGACAAAACTTTTGGTCCCAGTTACTGACTCAGATTGGATCCTGCTACTTCATCCTGGGACAAGTAGATTCGCCTTCATTCGACAGAATATCATCTAGAGCAGAGGTCCCAACCTTTGGGCACCAGAGACCGGTTCCGTGGAGAGAGGTTTTTCCACGGACCGGAGAGTGCGTGATTTTGTGTGCTGCCTGCATCCCACGGATGGGGCTTTGCTTGTTTGTGTGGCCCAGTTGGCATGCCAGGGCCCGGTACTGGTCCATGGACCGGGGGTTGTGGACCCCTGGTCTAGAGCAGGGGTCTTCAAACTTGGCCCTTTTATGACTGGTGGACTTCCAACTCCCAGAATTCCTCAACCAGCGTGCCTGTTCTAGAGTGAAGCCCCATTTTCTTAGATTGTCCCATCCTGGCACACAATCTATGTGGTGATTTCCATGCCAGCCAAGATTGTTCTTGACCAGGTGACAGTCTTGTGGTGGTGCCCAGTTGTCCAGTAATACCTTACTCACTTATTTTCATAGATCCTGGGTAGTCTATGGTGTTTGGTTGTTAGGAGGGGCCGAGGGTTTGAGGAAACTGTTCCTTAATCATTGCGTTGTTAATGTCTGGCTTCAATAGAAGAAATGTAGCTTTCCCTATTACTACAGAACCCAAGCTCACTTAACAACAATAAGCTCTTTATTTTTATTTTATTTATATATCAAATTTAGAGGCCAACCATCTCGCGCACAGAGTGACTACAGGCAATGTACTGTTACAATATATTGGGGTTGGTTTTTTTTTAGTACTGTTAAAATCGGAAGAAACGAAGGACAGATCACATGGATTCCAGGTTTTGATAAATTAGAACCAAGGGACATTTTGTCTATGGAGATTCTCAGTCATCCAGGTCATGGTTGTCCCAAAGATACTTTTTCAGGAGGCAACTGGACATTCTTGTTTTTCTTTGAAGACATTTCACCTCTCATCCAAGAAGCTTCTTCAGCTCTGACTGGATGGTGGGGAATGGAAGGATTTATACTCCTTGCAGACAGCAAGAGAGAGTGCAAATGACCAGCTGTCTGCAAGGAGTATAAGTCCTTCCATTTCCATCCAGAGCTGAAGAAGCTTCTTGGATGAGAAGCAAAACATCTTCAAAGAAAACCAAGAAAGTCCAGTTGCCTCCTGAAAAAAACCACCTTTGGGACAAGGGACATTTTTAACCTTTACACAAACTCATGGAGTCGCTGTGAACTTTTAGAGTTTCTGGCTAGTAATGGGAAGAAATTATGGAAGAAACAAAAGAATCACTGCATGTTACACAAAATCTCAGAAATGTCTCTCAGGTGGGACTGGAACTCCCGCCGTTCACAAATAAGTCGGTGCAGAAGTCCACTGATTACAGAGCCATCTGCTGTGGGTAATTTTTTGTTATGGCTGTAGTTATAAAATTAGAGTCTAATGATTTGATTTCATACCACTAATTACATCCTGGCATGCTGTTTCTAATTATACGTTTTCTCCCAAAGCATTTTTACTGGCTGCTGGGTATAGGCTGTTCATGTTATCCTGCCATTTTAAGTGGATTTTGGAAACTGCCAATTTTCTCTTCTCAGCCATTGAACAATGCAAAATTGTGCTGAAGGCAAATAGCCAAGAAAAACAAAGAGGTCACTAGGGTTCTCACCTGTTCCTTGAAGGTATCTAAATGTCAGTATTCTTAACAGATATTTAACTTTCATTTGAACATCTTCAGTGAAGGAGCAGTCACCGCCTTCCTTGATAATTGGTTCTGCTATTAACTTGCTCATATTATTGGGGCATTTATCTTAATATTTCACCTGAATCTAACTTCCTGGGTCTTGAGATCATTTATCTATGACTTCTTCTCTGGAATAACTATAAAAAGTGCATAGAATTGGGTTAGTGCCATCTAGTGGCTAAATTATATGATAACATTATCCACGCATGACTCTGTTCTTAAGATATTTTAAACTGTTTTATTTTCCCACCACAAATCAGAACTTTGTGGGAGAGAGGGAAACTCCACATCAAGACAATATCCGAAAAGTTTTATTTGGGTTTACTGCATAAATTTGAAGATACTGACTTTCCACTTCATAATTCCATAGCATATGTTTGGTCACAGAGTTACAGTTTTCCTCAGGTCTCTAGAAAAAAGAGAATTATAGATTGTCCAAGACAGACTGGCTTCAAATATTTTTTTTAATGCTTTATAAATAAGAACATTTGACTTTTCCAGTGTTTCTGTCACACTGGCTGAGAAAGAAAAGGAACATGAGAATTGCCAATTTCACTGATCGAGAATATTTCTACTGGTGCTCAGAGTACAGGAAATACAGTTTTTATATGATCCGAAGCAGGAACATTGCGAGAAAAGTTAAGCATCCTTGTAATTTTTTGCAGCAGTCACACAGTGTTTTGCAAGGATAGGCAAACCGTGAAGCTTTCATGAGGCGTATTTCCTGAGTAACACACCAATGGGCAACTATAAGGTGTGATCTCTGCATCTAAAAAGACCCACATCCCCCAGTTAGTGATGTTCTACCACAATGGATATTATCTGCAAGAGTAATGTACCCTAATTAACATCTAATGGAGCTGATGCTAGCATTACAGGAAATGTCAGGACATAGTCCAAGGATAAAAGAAATACACAGTCTTATCTATTCAAGGAGTCCTTTGTGCTTTCCTTATTCCTTTAAATCAATAGGGGTAGATTGCACAATTAAATTATATCTCGTGCAAAATAATAAAAACTTGGCTTTGCTCCAGGCTGCCTTAACCAAACCTTTCTACACTGTAAGCTCTGATGAATAGAGATATCGCCTTGTCTTAAATAACACAAAGTCTCTTGTATCTTTGGATCCAATATATTTCTATCCAAAATTCATTTCATTTGGGGGAGAGGTGAAGTTGGTGGTGGTGGTGGGTGTGGGAGGGAACACTTTGTGACTGACATTTATTTACAGTATAATATTCCTTTAAAAATTTGAGAGGTCAGATAGATCAGGCTGCAGGTAAGAGAGCCCTTGGTTTCAACATGGCAACATGGAGAATGGTCTTCAGGTCACTGCTGCTAAGACCTTGAAAAGAATCTTTAAGTTCCACGTAACGTGGATGGTTTGTGTCTGTGGGTGTTTTTTTTTTAAAATGAATCTCTTTGGTCCACCTTTTACTGTCTACACTTTTCAAAATGTTTACTCAAGGATTGCCATAAACTGCACGCTATTGAACCAAGGATGCAATCCAGGTTGATTTGAGCCAAACCTTATCTGCATCATATAATCATGATCATGGGAGAAGAGAAACAGAGAGAGGGAGAGAGCAATAAATACTAGGTCATTTATACCTTGCAACCTCCTGATAATGCTGGGAGAGAGTAAACGGGGTGGGGGGTGGGGGTGGGGAGCTAGGTAATGATTTGTCATCCGGGGAGCTCAGAGTAGTAGTCAAACCTTCTGTGTTAGAAACCCTAGCTGTGATTGACAGCTGGGTTTGCGGGGGCCTTGCCCGCCTGTGTTGACAGGAATTATGAGGATTTGTCAAAGCCTAATGGACATGGAAATGCCAGATTATGCTGAGTCTCTCGACTCCTCGTACACCATGCTAGAGTTTGAAAACCTGAGGGTGCTGCCCACAAATTCAGCAGGTGAGGAGATCCTTCTTTCTTCTCTCCAACCAGCCTCTGTTATCTTAGTTGCCCTTTTGGTGGACAAAGGATACGGTGGGGTCGAAGGGTGGATAGTGGCAGCCTGTCCGGGTGAACTCTCTGAGGAACAGAAGTACCGGGCTGTGGGGTGATACCAAGACCTGGGATTCGATGGCAGATCAAACTTCTGGAGAACTTTCCTGGAGCAGAATGTAGAGAAGGTTTCATTAATCGTTCTCGGCAGGATAGTTCTGGCTTCGTTGGACCTAGTAAGGCCAAATACTTAGCCCCATGGATTAGGATTATGTCTGGATGACTGTCTTCCTAAGATTGGTGGGTAGATTTCAGAAATAAGGAAATGTCTTTCCTACAACGGGCCACTGTGTTTGTCAAGAGCCTTTGGTAAACGAGATAGCACACAAAAGAGTTGAGCCACCTCATTTAGACAATGAGCGCATGTAGAAACAGAGCATGAAATAAACAAGTGTTCCTTTGGGGGAAAATAGATAATTTAGCAGTCTTGTCTCCATGAAATTACTTTCTCTGCCTACCCACCACTGTCTTTTTCCTCTTGCTGGGGAAAAGAAAAAGGCCATCTAGAATCCATTGTTGCTTAGCAAACGTTGATGTGTTTTTCTTTACAACATCAAACTTCACAGAGAATTGGTATAGCTTGGATTTGTGTCCGCTGTTCAAACATTCACCTCCATAGGTGCCAGATTATCACCGGATGATATTGTTTTTGTGCTCAGTAATCTACAAAGATTATGCTAGAATAAATAGGTGACTCTTTAAGGCTGGTGTTAAGTCTCTGGGCTGTTTTACAAAATGTTGTGATTGATGTTTGCATGTTTTGGAGACTGTAAGAAAGATGGCATTAACGTGGTTTTTCCTTTGGGATATATTTTTCTTCGTCCACATATATCTTGCTGTTCAGTTCTTCTGAACTGTACTGTTTATTAATTTGGTGCAAAGTTGTACTTCTTTTACTAAGGGAGTATGTGCCTGCTGTTCTGAATCAGAGAATTGTAGGGCTGGAAGGGACCTTGGAGGTCTTCTAGTCCAACCCCCCCCCGCCCAAGGCAGGAGACCTTATATCATCCTGGTTGTCAAACTTCTCTTGAAGACCTCCAGCGATGGGTCTGAATCTTGCTAAAAAGTCAACAAGAGCAACAACTATAGAAGTTCCCGGTTGGATGAAAATCTAGAGACTTAAAAAGTGAGAAAGAAATACTGGTTTTATGAGAATGGATTGTAAAGCTATAACATTTTACAATTGGTTGTTCAGTTCTGTAGGCCACAGAAAATCACCTGATAATTTCACAGTGAATTGGAAAGCTTTTATTTCATTTTTCTTTTTTAAGAACAAAAATATGGACTACGGGAACAGAGGAAAGTATTTCTTTAGCATAGAATTGCCAATTCTGACTTCCGAGCAACATTCTGGAGTTTTAGGAGACCAAGGGTGTTTTCCAACAGGACTTTGTGAAGTCAGGGGTTAAGTTGAAAACCCAGGCCTACAGAGTACAGGAAGTCCTTGAGCCCCAAATTTCCGTTGCTAAGTGAGACATTTGTTAAGTGAGTTTTGCCCCATTTGACAACCTTTTCTGCCGCCGATGCTAAGTGAACCACTGCAGTTGTTAATAATAATAATAATAATATTAATAATAATAATAATAAAGTTGGAAGGGACCTTGGAGGTCATCTAGTCCAACCCCCTGCTCAGGCAGGAAAGCCTATACCATTTCAGACAAATGTCTGTCCAGTCTCTTCTTAAAAACTTCCAGTGTTGGAGCACCACTTCTGAAGGCAGGTCGTTCCACTGGTTAATTGTTCTTACTGTCAGGAAGTTTCTCCTTAGCTCTAGGTTGCTTCTCTCCTTGATCAGTTTCCACCCGTTGCGTCTTGTCCTGCCTTCAGGCGCTTTGGAGAATAGCTTGACAGCCTCTTCTTTGTGGCAGCCCCTCAAATATTGGAACACTGCTATCAGGTCCCCCCTCGTCCTTCTCTTCATTAAACTAGACATACCCAATTCCAGCAGCCTTTCCTTATATGCTTTAGCCTCCAGTCCCCTAATCAGTTAGTAACACGGTTAAGTTAGTTAAGTTAGTAACACAGTTGTTAAGTGAATATGGCTGCCCCGTTGACTTTGCTTGTCAGAAGATCCCCAAAAGGGGATCAATCACATGACACTGCAACTGTCAAAAATATGAGTCAGTTGCCAGGTGTCTGAATTTTGATCACATGACCTTGGGGATGCTGCAACAGTCGTAAGTGCGAAAACGGTAATAAGTTACGGGTTTCAGTGCTGTTTTAACTTCACGCACTCATGAAACAAACTTGTAAGCCGAGGATTTCCTGTAATAACATACTTCAGAGGCAAGTTCTTTTACATTCGGGCCATGCTTACACACACTTTTTTTTTACAGTAAATCATTTTTTGGCATTATACGTAGACATCCTGATGTTGTGATTTTTATGCAAATCCATTTTCATGGACTGGTTTTAGATATCAATCATCTTTGTGCCTATTAAATGGGAAACATAGATGGAATATGAACTGGCAATCCATCTCCTACCAGGTGGGCCTGAATTTAAATTTCTGCACTAAGCCTAAAGGCTCCTTTCAATTCAATTCAGTTCATTCCATTTTGTTTAATTGATTGATTGATTGATTGATTGATTGAATTTATATAGCTGCCCATCTCACTCAGATGTGCCCCTGTGAACACATTTCGTTCCCTTTCTGCAACAAAATGCCTCTGAATTCGCTCAGTTTCCAAAAGACTAGAATCTCGCTGTACGGTAAAAGTTCACATTGTAGACGCCACATGCTAGATTTTCCTAAAGGTGAAGGCTGTTTCAAGCAGGCACTGTTGTATTTGCTTACAAGCTAATAAGTAAACCAGCTTGCTCAGGAACTAGCTGTTTTGAAATTAACGTGTTTGCCTTGGGCAAGCACCCTCTCGAAAAATTGGTCAAAACAGCTTTAGAGAAACTGAGCCAAAAGGTTCAATTCTGGACCAATCCCGTTAATGTAATCGAAGCGGTCTATCCAAGAACTTTACATGACGCACTAGGGAAAAAGTTCTTGCAAAATTTAGGGAAAAGAATAGAAGGGAGTCCAGTGAAGGAAGCATTTCCAAGCAATTAGAGAAGGGATCCTGGGCAATTGAGTATAAAGAAAATGTCCTTTGCCAGCATTTTTATTCTTTGTAAGGTTTGACGGTAGGAATGGACAGAATAATAGAGTGGGAAGGGACCTTAAAGGTCTTCTAGTCCAAACCCCTTCTCAAACAGAAACCCTAGACCAGGGCTTTTCAACCTTTTCACCCATTGTGCCACTTTTAGGATATGGCAATATCCGAGTACCACCAGTCGCCTAGCAAGGTGTCAAAAACTTGATGACCCCCCCCCCGAAATGGAAAAAAGTGAGAAAGTACAGGTAGTCCTCGACTTACAACAGTTCGCTTAGTGACTGTTTGAAGTTACAATGGCACTGAAAAAAGTGCCCCCCAAGCCACAGCCGAGCAAGAAACCTGCCTGCCCACCCGGCGGTGCTCTTCCTCCTGTCCGAGGCTTTCATTGTTGTGAGCATTTCTACTGAGGATTGGCAGTGGGGGTGGGGTGGGGGGTGTTTGGTTTTTATTCCCCCCGTCTGCTGGGTGGTTGCAGCAGGTTTTGGTCACTTCACATGACCCTGGGACACTGTGACCGTCATAAATATGAATTAGTTGCCATGCATCTGAATGTAAATCACAAGACCCTGGAGATAAGGCAACATTCCAGCTGATCGGCGCTGCTTCTGGGCTCAGCAGAAGCACCAGCATCAGTGCCGAGCTCCAGCTGGAGCCTGGCGCTGATCCTGGCGCTTCCACTGAGCCCTGACAGCCCTGCAGCTCCAGCCATCTCTCGCTCAGGCTTGTGCGGTGCTGCCACCGGTTCAGCTCATTCCCCTCCCTTGCTACCACTTTTCTAGGATGGTTGCGTATCACCTGCCAGGTGCCAATGTACCACAGGTGGTACCCGTACCACTGGTTGAAAAGCCCTGCCCTAAACCATTCCAGACAAATGGCTGTCCAATTTCTTCTTAAAAACCTCCAGTGATGGAGCACCCACAACTTCTGGAGGCAGTTTGTTCCACTGATTCTGGAACTGTTCTCATTGTCAGGAAATTTCTCCTTAGTTCTAGGTTGGTTCTCTCCTTGATTAGTTTCCATCCATTGCTTCTTCTCCTGCCTTCAGATGCTTTAGAGAACAGGCTGACCCCCCTCTTCTTTGTAGCAGCCCATCAAATATTGGAACATTGCTATCATGTCATCCTTAGTCCTTCTTTTCATTAAACTAGACATACCCAATTCCTGCAACTGTTCTTCATACTTTTTAGCCTCCAGTCCCCTAATCATCTTTGTTGCTCTTCTCTGCACTCTTTAGAGTCTCAACGTCTTTTTAATATTGTGGCGACCAAAACTGGATGCAGTATTTCAAGTGTGGTCTTACCATGGCATTATAAAGTAAAGCATGAAGATCAACACTTCTTAAAGATGATCAGTCTGAGAATCATTGCTCCAAGGAATCCCTTTTGTTAAATAAAAGAGGGGGGGATGACAATGATAAACATATACACAATCTATTCCTAATCATATTTATTTATTGTATGGCACTTTCACATCATACTTCAGTAAAAGGGAACACGGGGCTAAAATACCGAACGCTGAACATAAAATCTGAAATCTGAACAGGAATATTACAAATGTGTATCTAAGTTGCAAATATATATATATATTAATTTTTTTTGCAGCCAGGAAATCAGCAAAATCTCCATTATAGGCTCTGTTTTCAACAGTGTCACTATATGTGTTGGATAGTTTGTTTTTCAGCCCCACAATCACAATTCGGCAATGGTATTGTGCTCTAAATCATAATGACTCATAGACTCATATAGAGGTAGATAATAAACTGAGATATCTCTGAACATTGTTCCTGATACATCGCAAGGTAAAACCATGCCAGTTCTCTAAGTTGCTGGCTGAAAAAAACAACCTGTTCATACCCATCCACAATTGTGATGTTGTATATAGCTAGCATCCCTGTGGGGGGGGGGGGAAGGTACTTTGTAAAAGGAAAAACCTAGCATTCAGGTCTTACACAACATCTATGTACTTTTGTGGACAAATGAAGCATTGGGAAAGATATTAGCTTTAGCGTTCTAGGATTATTCTCTCTTGTTGAAGTCAAAAACTTCCTACAAGATTACTTCAGGGATTGGCCACCACCAAGATTTCGATCCACCCCAAAATTTTATCTGTGGTTTTTCTTAGGCCTTTCCTGATTCATAGAATCCCCTTTTGGAGGGTGAAATTCACATATCTTGAAGAGACAGCTAATAGTTCTGCTTGCACTTAAGTTCCTTTTCATAGAGAACAGAACAGAATAGAATAGAACAGAATAGAACAGAATAGAATTACAGAATAGAAGTAAGAATAGAATAGAATTAAGAATAGAATAATAGAATAGAATAGAATAGAATAGAATAGAATAGAATAGAATAGAATAGAATAGAATGACAGAGTTGGAAGATACCTTGGAGATCCTCTAGTCCAACCCCCTGCTCAAGCAGGAACCCCTATACCATTTCAGACAAATGTTTGTCCAATCTCTTCTTAAAAACGTCCAGTGTGGAGCATTCACAGCTTCTGGAGGCAGGTTGTTCCACTGATTAATTGTTCTAACTTTCAGGAAATTTCTTGCTAAAGACAATTCTGTTTCAGTGGCTTTTCAATTTTCTACTGAAGCTTAACAGTGATTTTTCTGCTGCTTCCATTTTTTTTTTGTCTCTTCTCAATACTCTCTTCTCTTCTAGTCTTCAACTTGCCACAGTTTGCTTAAGGACAGTTCAAAGTTACAAACAGCACTGAAAAAAGTGCCTTATGACAATTTTTCACACTTATGACCATTGCAGCATTCACGGGGTCATGTGATAAAAACTCAGACGCTTGGCAACTGGCATGTACTTAGGACGGTTGCTGTGTCCCAGGGTCACGTGATCATCTTTTGCGATGCTCTGACAAGCAAAGACAATGGGGAAGCCAGATTCACTTAACAACCGTGTTGCTAACTTCTGCAGTGATTCACTTAACAACTGTGACAAGAAAGGTCATACAATGGGGCAAAATTCACTTAACAAATATCTCACTTAGCAAGCAAAATTTGGGACTCCATTGTGGTCATAAGGCAAGGACTACCTGTGTTGTATTGGGTTGAAATCCTAGTTGTTATCTTTATTGGTTCCATATGGTTCTTAATAATGGCAATCGGCTATCTTGACATTTTTGATATGATGCCTGCCTGACAGCCTTTTTTTTTCTTCCGTAGAGGCCCTTGTCTCGGAGACCGGCAACAATGGCTTACTTGCGAATGGGGTCAACTCGTTGTGCTCCATCTGTGGGGACCGTGCAACTGGGAAGCATTATGGTGCTTCCAGCTGCGATGGCTGCAAAGGGTTCTTCAGACGGAGCGTCCGGAAGAATCACATGTATTCGTGCAGGTATAAAAATGCTGTCCTTTTTCAGGGAATTCTGGGAAATTTCCATCTCCTTTCAAGTGTTTCTCAACCTTGGAAGCTTGAAGATGAGTGGCCCTCAACTTCCAGAATTCTGGGAGTTGAAGTCCACATATATTCAGGTTCTCACTTGTGGGTTGTGTGTGAAGGTGGAGTCCACACAGCTTCAAGCATGTTAGCTGGGGAATTCTGGGAGTCAAAGTCCACACATCTTCAAGTCCACACTTGTGTGTTGTCTATGAAGTCCACACATCTTCAAGGATGCCTGACTGGGGAATTCTGGGAGTTGAAGTTCACACATCTTCAAGTCCACACTTGTGTGTTGTGTGTGAAGACGAAGTCCATACATCTTCAAGCCTACTGGCTATGGAATTCTGGGAGCTGAAGTCCATAGAACTTCACATGGCCAAGTTTGAGAAATGCTGCCTTAGATACAACCATTAGTAGCCTTGGGAAACATCTCAGTTTCTCCCAAGCATAAACTTTGTCCTTAGCTATTTCTTGGAAGAGGTAATGATTTACAAGAGCAATAAATGAAGGAAAGCAGAATCACCCTAATATAATTTTCTAATATATTTTAGGAAACTTCCAAGGAAAGACATAGGAAAATGTGCTACGTGCTTTGCTAAAGCAGCCCTAAAAAATTACCAGTCCAGGTTGGGAAATAAATTGTTCTCTTTCCTCAGAATTAACCTTTTTTCCGTTCCAGGTTCAGCAGACAATGTGTGATCGACAAGGACAAGAGAAATCAGTGTCGGTATTGCCGTCTGAAAAAATGTTTCCGAGCAGGAATGAAAAAGGAAGGTAATTTCTTCCAACTGTTTCAGAGTGTGATATGGTCCGTCTTGTGTTGCTGGCTGTGTAATCTCTATCCTCTGGATGAGACAATGACTCAGAGTAAGTTCCACGTAAGCAAATCGCCGTTAGATCTTTTATGAGTCACAGATCAGCAAGGAAGGAAGGTCTTTTTCCAAATGTTTCAAGATTCAGATTAACCCAGATTAATTTTGCTCCTCTGAGTTATAATCGGAGGGGCAGGAAAATCTCTGATGCTCTAATGAAAATTTCTGCAGAGACCCCCATATCCCTCAATTCTCCTGCCTGAAACTTCTCCCTTCATCTGAATGCATTGATCTACCAAGTCCAGCATCTGAGCAGCTTTACATGCCAATACTATGCCAGCAAAACAATGAAACTCCGGAGACAAACATAAATTTTCTGGATGTAGGTTCATAGCATATGATAAATTGTATCTCCTTATGCATAAAACAGGGGGGGAATGAACCTATGATTTATGGTTTTGATGAGTAGACAGGATATATTTCAGAAAGAAGGGAGTTATGTTGTCACCACAGAGTAAAAAGTAAATTTGAAATTAGTGTCCTCTAAAGATTGGAAGCTGCAGGACACCCTGGATTCATTTCCGTTCTTGTGCTGATAAGATTAGATTAGATTAGATAACCTTTATTGTTAAAGATGATCAGGGGACTGGAGGCTAAAACACTGCTGGAATTGGGTATGTCTAGTTTAATGAAGAGAAGGACGAGGGGGGACAGGATAGCAGTGTTCCAATATCTCAGAGGCTGCCCCAAAGAAGAGGGGGTCAAGCTATTCTCCAGCGCACCAGAAGGCAGGAGAAGAAGGAACAGATGGAAACTAATCAAGGAGAGAAGCAGCCTAGAACTAAGGAGAAATTTCCTGGCAGAACAATTAACCAGTGGAACAACCTGCCTCCAGAAGCGGTGAATGCTCCAACCCTGGATGTTTTTAAGAAGAGACTGGACAGCCATTTGTCTGAAATGGTATAGGGTTTCCTGCCTGAGCAGGGGTTGGACTAGATAACCTCCAAGGTCCCTTCCAACTTTATTATTATTATCATTATTTTCCTGTGGGCACAACAGCACACATTAAAAATGAAATTCAGTTGCTTGCTCTCAAGTGTACACATACACATACATAACAAATTTAAAACATACTATATACAACATATGTATAGACTTACACCCTTACATATAAGTAACGTATAAATATTAAATAAATATTAAATATAAAAACCCTTATTTTGACCTCTTGGGCCACCCACATTTTCTTGGGAATAATAGCCCAGGGATCCTGTGTTTAATCTAGTGGGCAAATTATGAGATAAAGATCATGGCAAGCCACTTAATACAGGCAGTCCTCAAATGATAACCCCAACTGAGCTCAGAATTTAGGTCGCTAAGTGAGAATTTTGTTAAGTGAGTTTTGCCAACGTTTTACGACTTTTCTTGCCCCGTTTGTTAAGGGAACCACTGCAGTTGTTAAATTAGTCACCCGGTTGTTAAGTGAATCTGGCTTCCCCATTGACTTTGCTTGTCAGAAGGTCGCAAAAAGGGGTCATGCGACCCCAGGACGCTGTGACCGTCATAAATATGAGTCAGTTTGCCAAGCGTCTGAATTTTGATCACGTGACCCTGGGGATGCTGCAACGGTCATAAGTGTGAAAAACGGTCGCAAATCTTTTTTTTCAGTGCTGTCGCAACTTCAAACGGTCACTAAATGAATTGTGGTAAGTCAAGGACTACCTGTGTAAGGAAGGGGCTTACTTAAGTATGAGGTCTTCCCAGGGAAGCATCTTCGGCAGGATTCACTTCTGGACCCAGAAGAGTGAAACCTCACCAAACGTTCATGAACGATGGCACAACTTGATTGATTGATTGATCCATCGACTGAAGGGTCGTTCCCTGGGCAGGCGGCCAATCCTTCAATATCTCTTTCTTTCTTCCCCCCAAAAAGCTGTGCAGAATGAACGGGACAGGATCAGCATCCGGCGAAGCAGTTATGAAGACAATGGGGCACTGTCCATCACCATCCTCACCCAGGCAGAAGGAATGGCACAGCAGGTAGGAGGAGGAGGAGGAGGAGGAGGAGGAGGAGGAGGAGGAAGAGGAGGAGAAGGAGGAAGAGGAGGAGGAGGAGGAGGGGAATAAATAAATAAATAATAATGCACTTTCCCCAGATCTTCTTGCAGTTCCTTAACTGTGCATTTATTTTAGTACCCCGTTTATTTCTAATAGACAGCTTTGCACTCAACTCCGCAGGTGGGTTTCTACCCAGGCAGAATTTGCTTTGATCTATCTCAGCTCTAAAAGTTGAATGGTCTGTTTGCAGTGGGGAGGGAGGGAGCCTTGCATTCTTATTTTTAACTCAGAATGTTAATGAAATACTTGTGATATATTGCCACCTGCTGGAGCTAGGGAGCCTACTGAATGTGAGCATACTATGCCCAGATGTTAAACTGAACGGGATCGAGTGATATAATACATACATACATACATACATACATATATCCCTAATAACTATAAAAATACGAATCCCAGGCATATGTGTACAATGATATAAAATCCTCGAAATCTGGGAAGGATATAAACTGAGTCAGCAAGATTTATAAGAAAACTCCCCACCCCTAACACTCACTCTGATGACGCTGGCAGTGGACCAGCGAAAGCTAAGGCTGTTTTTAGTATTGTAAATAGTTGTTTTTATTGTTTTATTTTTTACCAATAAACAGTTGGCTTATATCCTTCCCAGCAAGGCATGAGTTCCGGCACCTTTTTTTTTTTTTTTAACAAAAAAGCACTGTATATATATATAAACATACATACATACATACATACATACATACATACATACATACATACATACATGGAGTAGGGAAGGGAAAAAATATATTGCTTTGATGTTTCCAGTGTTGTTCATTTCTGAAAAAGTGCCCATTGCATTTGCACATGTTTTCATTTGTAAATTTAATTACCCTTTTCCATTTAATCTAAGGCTTATTTAAAAAATGCATTGAAATGGGCATGCATGCTGAAGAATATTTCTCCAAACAGAGGCATTTCTGTTGTTTTGAGTAGTGCACATTTTACAATCTAATTTCTTCAATATAATGCATACTCTCTCTCTCTCTCTCTCTCTCTCTCTCTCTCTCCTGTTTTTCTCTCTCATCTTTATACAGACTTTTTCTTAAGTCTTATTTTGTTAAAAACAACAACGAAACCCTGGCTATTTGCAGTGCAAAATGTGGATTTGGAAGGATAACGTTATCTCTTCATTTATTTGTTCATCAGTACAAAATTAGATCGTTCCATACAGTTGGAAAGTAAATGAATTTCTCCCCTTTCTCTATTCTGGAAAAGGAGGGGAAGGAAGAACCAAAGGGCGAGGGGAAAGGGAGAGCTTTAGTGCCCTGAGGAGGGTGTGTGTGGTTACCTGGCCTCTTGTCTTGCAGTACTCAGCTCTCCGTCCTGTGCACAACGCAGAGATCGCCATGAAGAAAATCGCCACGATCAACGACGTGTGTGAATCAATGAAGCAGCAGCTTTTAGCCCTGGTGGAGTGGGCAAAATGCATCCCCGTGTTCGGTGAGCTTCCCCTGGACGATCAGGTGAGCAAGGGGCCTTCTTTTGCCCAGTTTTACACTCCTAAATGGTTCCTCTTGCACAAGGGCGGTTGGTGACTTTCCTAACTCAAACTCTGAACAGTTTGTTTCTTTACAAACGGTTTTGAAGATGTGGGTTCCTCAAGTAGGCAATAACATCTTCTGTCTCTTGCAATTTTCAGGTTGCCTTGCTAAGAGCCCACGCAGGGGAACATCTCTTGCTGGGAGTTGCAAAGCGCTCCATTCCATACACAAATTTTCTCTTACTAGGTAAGAATAATTTTTCTCTGCTTAGGTTAAAAAAAAAAAAAGCTTTCATCATCCAGCTCCCACGGAGCTGCTCAGCCCCTTGACTGTTGCAAAGGGTCCGTTGGGGGTTTGGATAATGAATCAGGGGTGCTGTCTGCGGTTGGTGGGCTTGGCCAGCTGCAGAAGGCCAACGGAGCAAGCCTTGCTCAGCAGCTCCAGGATATTCTTCATTACCACTTTGAAGCAGGCTTGATGAGGTCTTGTATGGAAAAGGCCCCCTCTCTGCCCGGTCAGAAGCAATCTCACTTGGTCATCTGGAAGTTCTTGCACTGTGATTTGGAGCCGTGTTTCTCAACCTCAGCAACTTTAAGATGTGTGGACTTCCAAAATTCTCCTATGCTGGGAGTTGAAGCCCACTCCTCTTAAAGTTGAAATCCAGGGGATGAAGTCCACATATCTTAAAACTCTTAAGGTTGGGAAACACTGATTTAGAGCGTAACTCTTATTTTTCTCCACATCGTCATGCATCTTTTCATAAAACTGTGACTCGGGTCACTATTTCAGTCACTTCCACCTATGTCTTCTTTGGACCACCCCAGTTGAAATATACTGCAAGAACATTGCAAATGATCGACTGATCCTTCTCAGATCTTTAATAGCAACAGCCCTTAGATTTATATACCGCTTCACAGTTCTTTACAGCCCTCTCTAAGCGGTTTACAGAGTCAGCATATTTGCCCCCAACAATCCAGGTCCTCGTTTTACTGACCTCAGAAGGGTGGAAGGCTGAGTCAACCTTGAGCCTGGTGAGATTCGAACTGCCGAACTGCTGGCAGCCGGCAGTCAGTAGAAGTAGCCTGCATTACTGGATTCTAACCCCTGCGCCACCACGGCTCATCTCTAAGGGCATTAGGCTGTGCTTATGGACCATCCTTAGCCATGGGTTGACTATGGCTCAGAGAACCTTAATCCAAGTGGCTTACTTCACATAACAGATAAGTGCTATATGCTCTGAGCAATCCACATGATGACCTTGTGTTATGTGTGAACCATAGAGAGGGAAAGAGGGAGGGTTAAACCGCCACAATGATTGATGAAGTGCTTCTGTTTCTTAACACTTAGAAAAATCGGTGTAAGTATTGTATGTATGTCCCTTTATTAGCTGGAGCCATGACGATCATCGGCCTCACAGCATTCCTTCCTCTTCCTCTTCTATAGGCAATGACTTCATCATCCCCATGCAATGTCCAGAGCTTGAAATTGCCCGAGTGGCCATCAGGATCCTGGACGAGCTGGTGAAGCCCTTGCGGGAAATTCAGATCGATGAGAATGAATATGCCTGCCTTAAAGCCATAGTCTTTTTTGATCCAGGTATTTTTTTTTTCTTCCTTCACCTCATCCCGAGTTTGATCAAACTCCCTTTGGTTACCAATGGATGATAGGGATTGACGGGACAACGTTTATGGAGGTTCTCAGTCATCCAGGTCATGGTTGTCCCAAAGGGGCTTTTTCAAGAGACCACTGGATTTTCTTCGCTTTTCCCTGCAGATGTTTTGGAAACTCCTTCAGTTCAGTTCCTCAAAATAGCAAGTTTTTAATACCGACAGCCTGTTCTGTTTTACTTAGATACAGCTTGGGAGTGAGTCGCAGCCTTGTAACTTCTACCTGAAGTATAAACACTCCTCCTCCCTACTCTCTCTCTTTTGGGTTGCTAACATAATCAGTTTTTGTAACGGTGTCAGCAAATAAACGGATGCTTACTACTCTAAAAAAGAAAAAAGAAAAGAAAAGCCAAAGAAGCTTCTTGGATGAGAAGCGAGACGTCGTCAAGGAAAAACAAAAATCCAGTTGCCTCTTGAAAAAGCACCTTTGGGACAATTGATAGGGCAAGCTTCCTGTGGGTATCTTGGCTTTGTTGTCTTAAAACTTCCCTCTGTCCTGAACTAAAGTTAATTTTCTATTGTTTTTGCTTCTCCTGGTGATTTTCCTTCTTGGTCACGCTCCCACCGTAATCGTGGCTGACAACATTTGCTCGCGTTCATCTCCATCTTGCTTGTTTCTCCCCTTTCTCCTTGTCCCAGACTGCAAAGGGCTGAGCGATCCAGGGAAAGTCAAGAATATGCGTTTCCAGGTCCAGGTGAACCTGGAGGATTACATCAACGACCGGCAATATGACTCCCGGGGAAGGTTCAGCGACATCCTCCTGCTGCTCCCTCCGCTACAGAGCATCACCTGGCAGATGATAGAGCAAGTTCAGTTCGTCAAACTCTTCGGCATGGCCAGGATTGACAGCTTGCTGCAAGAAATGCTTCTTGGAGGTACAGCGTGGGTGGAGATGTGAAGGGCCTGGAGTAGGAACCAGGGGACCCAGGTTCTGCTCCTCCTTCAGAAGCTTTCTGAGGAACCTATTAGGCTGTCCCTCTCGCACAGCCCAACCAACCCCACAAGGTGGTGGTTGTGGAGAAAACACAACTAGGGATGCTTCATTGACCATCTCGCCCAGCTGCAAGAAAAGTGGGATAACAAAAGTAGCTTTGGGGTTGGGTCTACACACAATACCTTTAACCAGCAGCCCTGTTCACCTATCTCTGTTTGGCTTGGCTAGTTTTAACCCTGTTAAAAATCCTCCAAGAGCATTCAGATGAACCTTGGCATCGAAAAAAGAGCTGGAATCAAGTTGAATTAGTGATTACAGAAAAAAAAGATGTTATTATGGCTTCTTTACACACTAGGGCACTTCGTTAAATCCCAAAATAATTATACAGGAGCAAAAGAGTCCAAATTGCCCCCAGATCCACCAATTGTGTGGAAGGCTTGGTGGGTTCATTCCAAACCTGTTTTTTTTTGCCGAGATGATGAACCTAGATAGCCGTATAACAGGGCTGTCTAAGCTTGGCAATTATTAAGACTTCTGAACTTCAACTTCTGGAATTCCTCAGCCGGCTATGCTAGCTGAGGAATTCTGGGAGTTGAAGTCCACAAGTCTTAAAGTAAATATGATTGGACTGAGATGGCTTTCTTCTTGTGCAGGAACAAGCATGGAGATGCCCCAATACCAGCCAGGTCCTTCCAGCCATAATATGGAGCCTCTTCCAGGTCACATCGTGCTGCCTAGTACAATCGGCTCAGTGATTCACACCATTTCAGTCTGTAGGTATCCAGTTTCTCAGTGTTTCAACTAGGAAATTGTGGTTGAACCTTGACCATTGACCCAAAGGATACAAATGCTTGGAAGATACAAGAGGACCAGAGTGGGTGGGTGATACAGATTGGATGAAAGGGTGGTGGGTGATCAAGGAGACTGGCAGGAAGACAGTAGATAAGGAATGGATCCATTGAGGAATAGGATCTACCGAACATATCATGAAGGACTTTTTTGAAGGCCCAGGACAGACAAGGCAAATCATGGCTGTGTATGCTTACATGCACGAGAAGTAATTATCATGTTCATCTTTTCTTCTACAGCTTCACCAGAAACTTCGCTCCCTTCTCCTTCCACCAGCACAGGAAGTGAAGATTACAAACTGGGTCCCACGCCTGGATCCGAAATCCCAACAACCCTTTTGCCTCAGGTGGTCATCCCCAAACAAGAGATCCTCTAGGAAATCCACTCTTATTTTTTAGTTGTCCCTTTTTGAATTCAACAAGCTTTGTTCTCATAATGGCAGCCAACACTGCTAGGTTTCCCGCCCAACTAAATCACTTTGCATCTCACTTGGGTCCTCTCCAAGAAAAGATCCCACAACATTATTAGCATAGCAGGTGTAAACTATCATATAAAACATTGGCAGTTAAGTGGTTTATTTTCTGTTACACTCCCATCTATTGTGTTGTGGTGGAAACACCAGAACTGGTTTGGATGGAACACCAAATGGAGATTAGCTCCGTGCAGGTCTTAAAACCAGTTTGATGGCCATAGTCCAATAATAGTTCTAGTTGAGAGATACATATATATGATCGGCATACTCCTAGGACTTAACCTAATTTTTTGAGATTCCTCTTACCATTTGTAAAAATATGTATATCAATGTTTGAACAAAATAAATTGTACTTAAAAGACTTCAAGCAATATATTAATACTTCAGAATGGCCATTTATGGCTTGTGGGAAAGTTAGGTCACAACTATGCGCTTAACTCAATCAATCAATCTATCAATCAGAATAGAGCTGGAAGGGACCTTGGAGGTCTTCTAATCCAACCCCTGCTGAAGCAGAAGACCCTGTACCATTTCAGATAGTTAATTGTCCAGTCTTTTCTTAAAAACCTCCAGTGATGAACTTCCCTGGAGCAACATCTCCACACCCATAAAGTAAATCAAAGCTGCCATTTGCCTGGTGATGGTCAACCAAGCTTCCTTCAATCAGTTAACTTTATTCCACATTTTTCTAAAAAAAAAATTACAACAGAACAAGGATCTGAAAACCAAGGAACTTCATTTCCATCCATTCCACACACATACAGTATTTGCTAAATCACAGACATAATCGGCTGCTTAAACATGATCTGCTGAGTTTCAGAAGAACAGTCCCACCAGAGGCGGCCTATACGAATGAGGTCCTTAAATGTCAATATACCTAATTCTCAAACGGTAGAACTGAAACCGCAACAGATCTTGAATCTGATCCTTTTTTCACATTTATTTTTTGTCCTATGTTGCATTTTCTTCCATTGGCAGTTTCCTCCAGGATTAACCTCAAACTAAGACCGAGCTGCCTAAATTCTGTTTACATGACTGAGAAGAGTTTGCTAAGATGTACCAAGCACACCTTGGCCGGATTCTGTAAATGCTCAATATTTCTTCAGCAGTACCAACCGTTATCAGGGGAAATACTCATGGATAGCTATATATGCTTATTAGTCTGGCATGCCTCTTAAGAACGGAGGATTGGATTCCTCCTTAACACCATGGTGGACGTACTGGTAGATCAAGTTCTCTCAGAAAGGAGAAGAAACACTAGATTTGGCTTGTAAATAGAGAAACACCTAACATCTTCTTAAAAACATGCCCAAGGGCACACCTGTGGTTTTGCTTCTCTTCTTCCTCACCTCTGTTCCATCAATTCTGTGTATTTTTAAATGTTGACATGCCCCAATAGGGATGTTAGGAGAGTCCCGCACAATAGCAGCAGCACCCTCTCAGACCCCTGTCTTGTAACATGCAACCCGACTCACAAAAAAGATAAGGCACTATACAACAAGCAGCGATTTTGTCTGCCAAAATCCACAGGCAAATGAGAAAAACAGGATTTCAGGTGAGGGTCATCCACAAGAAGAGAGATCCAGGGTTGAGTGACAGGAACCGATGCCTGCCGCTTTCGTCTGAAGGGTCACACCCTATGGCCTTCATCTGAAGAATGGTCTAAGCCAGGGATAGGCAACCTTGGCTCTTTTATGACTCGTGGACTTCAACTCCCAGAATTCCTGAGCCAGCCATGCTGGCTCAGGAATTCTGGGAGTTGAAGTCCACGAGTCATAAAAGAGCCAAGGTTGCCTACCCCTGGTCTAAGCCCATTATATATACCTCTTTCTACAATGCTACGGTAAAAAGGAGTCCTTCCGGATTTTTACTCCGCTAGTCTTTACCGAGTCTAGGGGGGCGGTGCCCATTTCCGTTTCAAGGCCGTTGAGCCAGAGCTGTCCGAACACATTTTTGTGGTCATGTGACCAGCACATGATGGAGGGCTGTTCCCTTCCCACCGAAGTGATACTTATTTATCTACTCACATTTGCATGCTTTCAAACTGCTAGGTTGACTGGAGCTGAGGTGAGGACGGGAGCTCACTCCGTCGCGTGGCGCTAGGGTCTCGAACTTGGGCTGCCAACTTTCCAGCCATCAAGCCCAGTGTCTTTAACCACTGAGCCACTGCGCCACCCTCCAAATGCTGACGGAATTGGAAATGCTTCATCTATACCCAGAGAACTTCACTCAACTCAAAATCTTCTCTAAGAGATCAACCAGACTCAGGGGTGTCCACCCAAGCCCTCCATAATCCATACATCTCATTGTGCAAATGCAGTTCTGGTAAACCTGTATCTCAACTTCAGTCGCATAAGTACGTGAAGCGCCAACACTCATGTGACACCTTCATCATATGGGTATCCTCCTGCCGCCCCCGTAGATGCCCACTATGGGGTAGAAGCATGCGATGCCATTACAGAATAAAAAGAACCCATCGCTATTAAGAGTTAGGACAACTCTTAAAAGAAGCTCTTTTTATATATATATATATATATATATATAAAAAAAATCAGGATACACATACATACTCAAGAGCTGCACTGAATCTTCTGGTTACAAGGAGGATGCAGAGGGGGCAATCTTTTTGTTTTTTTTACTTTAAGCATAATTTAAGCATAATTACCATTAGGGAACAAGTGGAATTTCATGACCGATCTGAATCCTACGTGGAGTTAAAACGCCCACCTGCCTTTCCTGGGTATTTCCTCAACACAGTGTCTTTTCAACCTCTAAAAACCTTTCCTTAGTATATAGTGTTTCTCAACCTTGGCAACTTTTAAGACACCTGGACTTCATTCAACTCCTAGAATTCCCCAGCCAGCCATAGGTCACTAAACGAAGTCAAGGACTACCTATATACTCTCGTGAAACTGAGCTAAAGCAGCTTCTTTAAAAACAAATGGACTTGAGAAATGTCGGAGAGACGACCTTCCAAACTAACTCCTGCTGAACTTCAAAAGAGACTTCTTTTTCAACAACCGGGTCTCCCGAGTTCCTAGCACTGCTTCCCGTAGCCGGAGGAACTTTTTGAAAAACCTGCTGGCCTAACTTGACATGTCACCCGGTGCTGGTGACGTGAAAAAGATAACTGAGAGTTTGCTGACTTTAAGAGGTTTTGACCTCGGGGCCTCTTTCTTCTTTAAAACCCATTCTAGACCTCCCCAAATCGCAGAGAAGGGCTTCCCTTAAAGCGAGAACAAAAACCCAGGCATTTGACACAAGCGTCCACAAGCAGAACGAGTAGCTTGTTCTTATAGTTGTTCCCTATTTAGTACTTTGATTCTGAACCTAAAAAGGAACGATCTGACGAGGGGGGGGGAGATTTGGGACCTCACCCGTGCGAGCTTTGGGTTCTCTCGTGGGAGAATCAGAAGCCCTGCAAGATAATCACCCACCCTAACCGAGCTCGTTGGGGCAAACAGAAAACACCATGGAAAAAAACCACCTGAAATTTTTCATTTCGGAGATTGCGTTTGGCTAGCCGTTTTCAGCATGTCTCATGACTGACAGTGGTGTCTCGTGATTGACAACGATGGCTCCAGGAACAGTCTTTTCAAAAGAGGAGAAGTCAATGTGTCACAAAGAAAGAAAACAAAAGACTCCTAATGAAGAAAAGATCTGGCAAACAATCCCCTAAAATCCCGTTACCGCAGTGGAGGTGCTATTTGGACTTTCTCAGCGTAACCGTCCTGTCCCGTTGGTGTTTCGTTTGTTCGACGGAACAAAAGCCAGGCGTGGCCACATTCAGCGTCCGCTTCCAGAGAGTGAGACGTAGGAGGTTATAAAGGTATAAAACTCTGCTTGCTACAAGCAAAATGTTCGGTATGTTTTTTTGTCCAACTCCTCTGGTCCCAGGTGGCGGCTTTTTCCCCCGCCTCGCCCCCAATAAATACAATACACTCCTTGTGTGGGTTTCAGCATGATTGGGCCGGCTCAGACCGAAAATTCAGGTGCTCCCTTTTTGGCTCTGAGCAGGAGCCTCCGGATTCGGAATCCAGCGAAAGGATTGATCCACAGCAGGGACGGTTGTCCCCCGAAGACCGACTTCATCCCTTCCCAGCACAGTCTCCGTTCCCAAGTGGGCTTCTCGCTCTTCAGCCTTTCGATCTCCTGCAAGTTAATTGGGCATTTTGTGAAATTCTGCCAAACCTGGGGAGGGTGTGCTGAGATTCAAGGTCTCAGCTGGAGGGGAGGTTGGGATGGGTTCGAATGGCAGGTCCGAACTGCAATGGGGTGGTGACCGTGTGTGGGGGGGGGATGTCTTACTGTTTCATCGTTGCATATCGAATGGATCTGAGTGCCAAACATCACCGCGGTGAAGGTCAGAAAGAGAAACCCTTCAAGGCACAAGAAGATCAGCAGGATCACCGTCACGGGTGGGGAGAAGTTACTGCATTCTGGGAAGGAAGGAAGGAAGGAAGAGAAGGGGAGAGAGGAAGGAAGGAAGGAAGCAAGGAAGGAGGAGAAGGGGAGAGAGGAAGGAAGGAAGGAAGGAGGAGAAGGGGAGAAAGGAAGGAAGGAAGGAGAAGGGGAGAAAGGAAGGAAGGAAGGAAGGAAGGAAGGAAGGAAAATTAAGTTTGAATCCAGAACAATCATATTCACAACGTCTTTTTGGAATAATTAGCAAGTTTAAAGAGGAACTGCGAGGTAGAATCCAAAACTGGCTTGCAAATGGTTGGAAGCAAATACAAAGGATTGTATTTATAAAAGGCATGAAACATTGTACAATATACTGGAGGGATTAGGCATTACATGGGAAGTAGAGAGTGTTTGAGAGTCACAGAAATGCAAACATGTTACACATGTTGACCAGACAGTTTAGGAGATTTCCTACTGGTCTGGGAGAGTGACATTCCTATTTTAGGGCTTCAAACATCTTGTGTTGTTAAAAGCCAGAAGCTTTTGCAACTAACGTATTTCTCTTCCTAAAGCGTATTAATAATGTTGGCATCACTACAGAAAAAACAACAACTGGTCAGTATCTTCTCCAGGGAAGCATTTTTGACTTCCCAATCTAGTCTTTCTCAACCTTGGCAACTTGGGACTTCAACTCCCAGTATTCTCCAGCCAGGGGGATTCTGGGAGTTGAAGTCCAGTCATTTTTAAAGCTGCTGAGGTTGAGAATCCCTGTCCTAATCTAACTTTAGAGCCTGGGATTTGCTAATGGCTTCCTATCCAACTAATAATCAGGCCTGACCCAGCTAATTCCTAAGTCCAGATAAGACCAGCCATCTGCTGAAGTGGAATTTGAGGACTTGTGTTTTCATGGGTGCCCCAGCAAAATATCCAAGAAAGCAGGACGGCCCACATCCAACCCTCATGTTGAACCGGACGTGGGGGTTTAACCCTTGAAATTCTGGCACCACACGTGCATCATGTGCCCTGATACAGCAAAATATAGATACGTTGTGTTTTCTCTATGGGTCTCCGGCAGCACAATCTCAGCGTCGCCCACGCTGCACTCCCATGCATAATTCAAAAAGGCAATTATTTTGAAAACAAAACTCAAAAACATCGGTCGGGTTGGAAAAATGTCACTCGAGCACTCAACAAAATGCTCTTTTGGAAACGCTCCAGCAGTTTCCTTAATGAAACAAAATAATGTGCAAATGTACCAAGACACCATAGTTTGAACACTCAACAGCCAATTTCGATTTTCAGGGTTCTAAACCTTTGGGCATTTAGGTTTCCAAGAGGTAGTTTTCTCCCATAAAATCTAACTGCCTTGTCAATTTCTTTTCTTAAGACCCATTTTCCAAACCTACTCCGCCCTTGGAGATAAGCTTGAAAAAGACAACCGTTTTCCTTTGAAAAACCTTGTCCGGCAGAGAGAAAAAGACCCTTATTTCATCACATTAGACACCAAATTTTATTTGTTTGTTTCAGAATTATTTCTCTTTGTAAGACACGATTTGGCTTTTGTACAGTTTTAATCATTCCAGTTCAGTTTCCTCTTTTTTTATTGACGGCTGCCCCTGCTCGCTTTTGTAACCGGCTACTTAAAATCCTTCCACGGTTTCAGATTTGCACCGCAGTTTCTTCATGGTCTGACGGCACCTGAACCATCTGCTAGACGAAGCGATTTAGGCATGCTTAAAATAAATCTGTCAAAGGCCACGTGCTTGCTTACCAATCCACTGATTTCGGACGCAGGAAAAGAACTGAAATCCACACAGGATGAGCGCATGAGCTGAAATCAGAGCAATGTACATCTGGAAAAGAAGGGAGGATTTAGAATAGAATAGAATAGAATAGAATAGAATAGAATAGAATAGAATAGAATTCTTTTATTGGCCAAGTGTGGTTGGACACACAAGGAATTTGTCTTTGACCCACAAGGAATTTGACATCGATCTTTGCAAGGCATGTCTTCAACGCTATCGTGGGTCTCCTTTCTTCACTTCTCATCTATTTATTTATTTATTTTGAGGCTGCCTGATACCACAAAGACTTGAAGCAGCTTGCAAATAAAAATCAGAAGTAAACTATGCCTATCGAAGAAAGAAACAGAAAAGGAACAGAGCTAATCAGAAGATGCCCCCCCCCCCAAAAGTTCAAACAGTAAAACTAAAAAGCTCAGTCCCCATTTCTAACCCAAGGAAGGTCTGAGAAAAAAAGCCAAAAGAATAAACATAGGTTTCTGGGTGGATAATATTCCACAAGCCGGGCACCATCACCAGGGAGATGATGTCAGCATTAAAGCATGACCAATATTCTGACTTGCAAATTTAAATGTTTAGCTACATTCCTTCCTCTTCCCTGATTTGTGATAAATAACACAACAATTCCTACTCACAGTAAAAAGCACAAAAAACCTCTGGTTCCTTTCCCCCACACAGTTGTTAACCCAGGGACAGTGATGATCCATCTTCCGAATGCATCGTTTGCAAATACTGATGGGATTTAAAGGGGGGGGGGAGTGAGGGGAAAAAAAAGATTATGTACATCTTGGTGCCGAAAGTAGAACCGATTTCTTTGAAAAATCTAAGGTTATTTGCATACAATAAACAAGCCAGATCCATTTCCTCTTTTATGAACCGGACAAAACTTTATTTATTTATATTTCGTATTTCTGAACTGCTCAACTGCTGTAAGAGAAATGTCGGAAAACAGATCAAGTCTGTATCATATCAGGGTATTTTTCATAGGAGGGAAGATTACACTGTGGCCCTTTGGAGTCTTCTTTGGAGAAATGCTGAAGAGGAGAATGCAAGAACTTTGCTTGGCTCCCAGCTGTGGAGAGTCAGGAAGAAGACCTTGATGGGGACAAGCCAGGACCCTCAACTGGGCAAAAAGGGGTGAAACGTTTTTTTTAAGGTCTGAAAAATGAGATAACATTCAGAAGAGGCTTAGGCAGGTGCCTCCTTAATTCGCTGAAGTATCAAAAGGAAGAGGAGATACGGCTCCTTCATAGAATCATAGAACTGGAAAGGACCTTGAAGATGTCTGTGGAGAGTCTCAATCATCCAGGTCACGGTTGTCCCAAAGAGGCTTTCCAAAAGGCGACTAGATTTTGTGGTTTTTTTTCCTTGAAAAATGTTTCGCTTCTCATCCAAGAAGCTTCTTCAATCCTCAAAGTGAACTGAAGAAGCTTCTTGGATGAGAAGCAAACGGTTTTCAAGGAAAAAAAAAACCCCACGACAGTCCAGCTGCCTTTTGAAAAGCACTTTTGGGACGACCGTGGAGATCTTCTAGTCTAACCCACCCACCCCTCTCTGACCTTACCCCATTCCAGACAAATGGTTGTCCAATCTTTTCTTGAAAACCTCCAGCGATGGAACACCCACAAGTCTGGGAGGCAAGACATTCCATTGATTCATCGTTCTCCCTGCTAGGAAGTTCCTCCCCAGTTCCAGGTGGGATCTCTCTTTAACGAGAGATCTCCCACCCGATGCTTGCAAGAATCTTTTATTATCTCAATCAAAGTAGATTTAGCCTTCCCTGCAGAGTTAATTTCATTGGGGGGGGGGAGGAGGCTGCCAGCAGCTGAGGCAGGGTTGGGGGGGGAGGAGGCAGCATTTTCATCTGTCCTTCAAAAAGAGGCACTCGTGTATTTCAGTCTGGAAAAGGAGCCGGCTCTTATGAAGGTCAACAAGCTCTACCGCCCGCGCTCCCTACCTCCCCCAGCCTCCCACGTTTGTACGAATCCTCCGTTTCAAGCAGTCGGGGGCCGAGGGGGGACTGAGCCAAACCGAAGCAGCAGCTGCGTTCGAGAAGGCAGCAGCACCTAGGAAACAGCCCCCTTCTGCTCTCTTGCTGAGCACAAAAGAGAGGCAGCTTGAAACAGGAATGACCTCAATCCATACTTCTGGGACTGCAGAGGCCCCTTAAAATGTGGAGAGCAGCCCCCTCTGAGAAGGCAACTCCCAGGCGGTGTGAAGGATACCTGCAGTGATGGGCACGTTCTGGCTTCACGCTGCAACACTTGGGGCATTTGTAGATGACCTCCCCTGGCTTCAGCTGCAAACTCTCCATGTATTCCTTTGTGGCATTTCCTTTGGGGACAGCACCCTAAAAAGGCAGAAAGACAAAACTCAGGGATCCAGAATGAGGCTGCTCCTGGATCTCATGTTTCCCAAATAGGCTGTCCTTCAATTCCCAGAATCCTCAAGGCTGCATTGGCTGGGGGATTCGGAATGGGACAGTTCACCACGGCCAACTCACCTTGGCCAACTCTCCATGGCCAATTCACCTTGGCCAACTCTCCATGGCCAATTCACCTTGGTCAACTCTCCATGGCCAACTTGCCATGGTCAACTCACCATAGGCCAACTTGCTGTGGCCAACTCGCCATGGTCAACGCACCTTGGCCAACGTGCTGTAGCCAACTCACTATGGGATGACTTGCCTTCGCCAACTCACCACAGGACAATTCATCAATACTTTTATTTTAATTATTTAAAATAATTTAAAATTTCATTTTTTTGTCCTTCACACTTCATCTTGTCCCTCCTTTTGCATCCTTCATTTAATAATTCTATTCCACCATTTCTTCAATAATATGTAACTTTTGTTCCATGGCAAGTTGGCCAAGGCTAGTTGGCCATGACACGTTGGCCGTGATGAGTTGTCCTAGACCAGGGGTCTTCAAACTTGGCCCTTTTATGACTTGTGGACTTCAACTCCCAGAATTCCTCTGCCTGGCTGAGGAATTCTGAGAGTTGAAGTCCACAAATCATAAAAGGGCCAAGTTTGAAGACCCCTGTCCTAGACCTGTGGGATTATCGGAAGTGTGAATCCACATGGTCAAGAAAGAGTCCTCGGCATGGGACCCAAAACTGTCGACCACTCTACTCACTGGATCCGTCAGCATTGTTCTTAGGTGAGAAGACAATGCCAGCACAGCCAAGCCATTGAAGAGGACTCCGTTGACCAGGGAATACCAGAAGTCTTTGGAAGGGAGCAGCATGACGAAGGTGACCACGAAGTCAGCGTAGACCACCAGAAGCCAGGTCATCACTGCACAGACCATCCCGCAGCTGTCGCGGATGAACCAGACGCGATCCCCCGCGTCGCACTCGGATGACGGCGAATCGTAGCAGTCATTCTCGGCAAGCAGAGGATGATGCTCAACGTCACGCAACCTGTGCCCAGATGACTGCATGATTTTCTGGACTGGCCCTGTGGGGGGAAGTAACCAGCGAGTAGCTGTGCAGTGAGGCTCACAGACAGCACCTCAACTATTGTCAAGGGATGAACGGACAGCCCATCCTATTCTAATTTAAACGAGGCAAGCGAAACGCAACAGGAGGGACTCCAGAATCAATGGATCCAAGGTTGGTCTTAACAGCCTCAGCAGACCAAAAATGTAAGATCCTGATCGGGGCTTTTTTTCATTACGCTGGCTGCATAAAGAACTTCTACAAGTCCCCAAGTATAATCAATAGAAAGATAAACAAGTGAATGAAGAAATAAATATAAATAAATAAAATTAAAGTTCCGTTTGTAGCCCAGAGTTGAAAATAAGGGGTCTTTGATGCTCTCTGAGCTTGATTGTTTTCTTGCAGACATTTCCTTAGCCAATTAAATAACTTCATCAGTGCTAGAAGGGAGTGGGGTTTGCAGAAGAGGAGGAGGAGGAGAAGGAGACGACTGTGGGGTCCTTGATGCTCTCTGAGTTTGATTTTTAAGTTTTATTACCCAATTAAATCGGCAGTGGTAGAAGGAAGTGAGGGGAGAGGAGGAAGAGGAGGAGGAGGAGGAGGAGGAGACGACGATTGTGGGATCCTTGGTGCTGAGTTTGATTTTCAAGTTTCATTACCCAATTAAATTGTAGTGGTAGAAGGGAGGAAGGGAGGAAAAGGAGGAGGAGGAAGAGGAGACATTGTGGGATCCTTGGTGCTCTCTTGAGTTTGGTTGCTTTTTTTGCAAACATTTCATGACCCAACTAGAGAATATTATCGGTGCTAGAAGGGAATGGGGTTTGTGGAGGGGGGGAGGAGGAGAAGACGACTGTGGGGTCCATGATGCTCTCTGAGCTTGATTCTTTTCTTGCAGACGTTTCCTTACTCAAACTAAGTAACATCATCAGTGAGTAACCAAGCTCAGAGAGCACCAAGGACCCCATAAAATTAAAATCCTGGACTGGCTTCTCCAGTGTAAAACCACCTTGAGGGAGGAACCTGACCAGAGGAGGCTCATGAAATCCATCTCCTTCTTGACAGACCCAATCGTTGGACTTCTTTGTTTAATACTGGTTTTTGTTTCGTTTTTTGTAGAAGTTTGAATAACTTTATCCGTACTACATGAGATTGCCATTTCAGTTAGTTACTTTCACCTAAGAATTACGTACAATTTTTTTGGGAGGGGGAAATTCAGCCTTTAGGGCAGGGGTAGTCAACCTTGGCTCTTTTATGACTCGTGGACTTCAACTCCCAGAATTCCTGAGCCAGCCATGCTGGCTCAGGAATTCTGGGAGTTGAAGTCCACGAGTCATAAAAGAGCCAAGGTTGACTACCCCTGCTTTAGGGAATAAAAAGTTCCGTTTTTCATCCATCCGTTCGTCCTCGTTTGCCTGGCCATCCTTCTCTTTTTCCTTGCACAGGGAAGACTTCTTACTTTGCCCTGTGGGAACATTTGCTAAGCCCCATTTGGTGTCTTGAGTGAAGTTCTAAGGAGCTTCACGAAGGCACAAATGGTCTCATTAAACCAGGGCTCGCTGGGAAAGGAAGGAGTCCCCAGGGAGCACCCCACGATTTGAGCAGAAAATCAAAGTATTATGAACAGCTGCAGTGTAAATCTCTCCACTGCCAGGAATGGGAAGAAATCCTAGACACCCTTTTCATCCTAAAATCCCTATTGATTCAGTGCTATTACGGTCGACGGCTGAGCTGAAAGCACGCTATTGATTTGCCGATATCTGAGCAGATGCTTTTCGATTTCCTCACAAAGGGTGGCTTCCTTTTCCCCACAAACCAGCACACACAAATGCAGTTTTGGAGGCATGTTGGCCAGTTTGCATCTTATCCTTGGTTTGTTACAAATCAAGACGGAAAGCTGGGTCATGCAAGCTCAACAAAACAAGGACGGAAGGAAAGTAGGATTGATTCTACCTCCTCTTCCTCACTGTTTTTACACACAGCCGAGAAAACCCCTGTGAAGAGGGGCAGAGGAGGTCCAGCCTTGACTTAAACATAGTAATCACCCCTCAATTATTATTATTTTTTTGCTTTTTTTCAACTGGGCCCAATACTCAGAGACTGCCTGGACGAGTCCCCTGCACTTTTCCTGGAAAGGTTTTTCCAAAGCGGTTTGCCATTGCCTCCTTCCGAGGGCTGAGAGAGAGGGACTGGCTCAAGCTGACCCAGCAGATTTTGCACCTAAGGCAGAACTAGAACTCACAGTCTCCTGCATTCCAAGCCGGATGCCTTCACCACTTCACTAAACTGGCAAATTTTTCTGTCATTGAGACGGGTGAACAAATCGGGCTGCATGTCTGAAGCAGCCCATGGCTTACGATCCTTAGGAATCCAACTGAAAAATGACACTCTGCAGCAGCAGCAGATCTAATCTTGCCTTTGGGAAACAATCTGTCATCCACACACAACATCCTAAGCATGACTTGATTACTGTAAGATCACCCCAAAAAAAACAAAAAAAAACCCCAGATGAGGGAAATAGAACTCTTAATTTTTGGCTCAGAGTTCAGATCTTAACCCACAGAGCAATTCTGCAGCAAAATCCTGGTTTTGCTTCTTCAAAGATGCTGTGTAAGTTAAAAGGCTCGCTGTAGGCAGGAGGAAGAGAAGACAGCATAAATGAGGTTGACTTGTTGAAAACCCCCCCCCCAAAAAATGTGATCAAACATTAGAGCGGGGGGGGGGAAATCACTCCAACCTCACACTGATGCACAGCGCCTTCGCACAACGGATCTCTTTCAAACCACAAATGTTTTAGACAGGGGCTCGACTGTTTTGCAGCTTTATAAAGTTGCTTATATTAATTTTCTCCAACCTGGTGCCCTTCAAGGATACTGCATTGCAGTTTATGTAGATCTTAGCCAGCATCCTCTTAGCCAAGGCTAAAAAGAGTTTGATCGTGTATAAGGATGGCAGATGAAACGCTTTTAACTTGGGACTTCAAGACTGAATATCAAATAAGCAGGGGTTGCATTTGCTGAATAAAGGCAATAACTACACACAAGAACTGATGACAGGGCAGCAAAATGCAGCAAGAACGTAAAAGTATTAACCGTACAAAAAGCTCAGAGAAAAGTCCGTCAAATGCTCAACCTCTGAATACTGTGGACTCTTGATGAAAAGACATCTCCCCCCCAAAGGAAGCTGCAATTTTTAAAAAGACAAACAGCCTCTGTGTGTGTGTGTGTGTGTGTGTGTTTGTATGTGTGTGGCAACTGGCCACGAACATCTAGTGGTGCTTCCAGTTTGAAACATCATCCATTAATCTCGCTTCCCTAAATTGTCTATCTGTTGGAAAAGACCCTCCTCCGTGGCTTTCTAACGGAACAATTGAGGCCAGTTTACAAACTTCAGAAGTTTCCTCTGCTGGTTTGTCTCCACCTATTTGAAGACGCTTTTGTGAACGGGGAGCTGGCTAAGAAGTGTGTGGCGGTCTGCGCGTGTGGGTGTTTCTAAGGGCCACCTATTCCGAATCGGCATGGAACAAGCAGGTTGAAGAATCCAGAAAAAGCATACATACCTGACTACGACAATGGTCAGTTTGACATCTTGCTGATCCTTTGGGCGTCTACGATACACACACGGTCATATCTGGGATAACCCACCCAAAGCGTAAACAGAACGGCGTGTTGGTCACAATCGGAGCAGGCCGAGAGAAAGCCCAAGTGGAGCGTCACCTGGAAAGTACAGAACATCTGCTGAACATGAAAGCAGGTGCTTTCACCGGAGAAGCACTCTTGACCTTTGGCTCCCTCATCAAGTTCAAGCATCTCCCCTTCTCCTGGACTCAATCCTGAATCTCGAAGAAAAAGGAGAGAGAGAGAGACGGCGAGAGGCTTTTCATTCTTCGGAAGAAGAAAAGGTTGTGGTTAATGGGCAGTGTTATCTGCCACCAGCTGCTTTGGGAAGTGTCAAATTCAGGCCATCTGTCCTGCTCGCTACTTTGGCCAGCTGTCTGCAGGCCACTTCCATATTCCAGAAGGTGATGACCCATCTGGAAGACAGAAGGCACGTCTGTCTTCCAGGGACTGCTTGAAACTTGCAACTGATGCAAAAATTCGGTAACCAAGATGACTTGGAACCATTTTTGTCAGGGTGAAAAACGTCTATTTTAGGTATTTATTCATCTGGCTGAAGTTGACCATCAAAGGCTTGCGACTTGGGTCGCTAAAGGTCGTTTTGGTTACACAGTATGAAATACATTCTTCTCTGAGCAATTAAGATTAGATACGTCTTTCTATTTGTGGTAATATTTTTTTTCCAGAGGTTACTTTATCAGCTGTAGGTGCTATGCTTTTATTTCATCTCCCCATGTTTCCAACTAAACTGCAATTTAATTTCACTTCTACGTTATTTTAGCCTTTACATTTTTAGGATTTGATTAATCCCTCTTTTGCTACCTTGGAGAGGAGAGCTGTGGGTTCTGGTATATTGATTCTTGCTATTAATATTTTAAATTTGATTTACTTTTCTCTTATTTTAAGCGGAAAACTTAAAGCAACTTAAAAAAAGCAGGAAAACACAGTAGCCACTACATAGCCAAGGTCTACATGCAAAAAGAGGATGTCAGCAAATCCGAGAGAAATTGCTAATTAAACACAAAATAATAATGAGCAAAAAGACAAAATAAATCGCTTTCCCCAAATAACTCTTTAAACCTCTCTCAACAGCCCAGAATGCGAACAACAGCACAGTGATATAATGTCAACAACAGTGAATAATTCAGAAGTACAGGATGTGAAGTAAGTCCAGGCATCTCGTAAATGAGCTGATCCACGTTAGAGCAGGGACTTTCCCAGAATCAAGTCAAGCCATGCCTTCGGATAATTAAACTGACTCTAGTTGTAAGCAAAAGGTGGGGAAAGGAAGGGAAGGGAAATAAAGACCGTCAATACAAAATATATTTTACATAGAAATAAGAAAATAAGAACCCACTGATTCCAGCATCCCAGGGACAAAGCATCCG